TAGTCGAGTATTCTTTTCATATTCGATTATAATTGATCAATTTCTTAGTTCTTAAAGCTTAAATCACCTATTGTGGACCGACACTCAGGGGCTTACCCATAAATGCTTTAAAGCATTTTTAATTGGTGTGTTAGTAAAATTTTTTATTTTGACTGGACAAGCAAACGCTTCGAAGCATCTGTAATGTTACATTAGCCTTAAGCTTAGTCTACAATGATATAACATAAGGCTATAAGGCTTATCATTTCTTATGTTTAACAATCTTACGTCACAGTATACAGCACAGTTATACTGTGACGTAAGGTTGTTAAGCATAAGAAATGAAAATAATTCATTTAAGTAGATTCTTACACACCTTACAGCCTTATAGCCTTATGTTATGTCATTGTAGAGGCTGAAATCTGTTTGATCACGTCCCGATTGACCACTAGCTATTCACAGCGCTTGAATAGTGGAAAAATTCTAGGCGCCGGCTCTTGTGGCTAGTCAATCGGGACGTGATCAAACGAGTGTCACTCCATTGTAGACTAGGCTTTAGTGACACAAATCGACACAAGTATCATTCTATCTTTCTTGGCTTTCAATGATTAACAAGGACAAAATGATACTTGTATCGACTTGTGTTACTAATGCCTGATTTCACCAACGTAGATTAACTTTAATTTCGGTTCAACTTGCTCTTCATCTTTTTCTAGTTCTAAGAATTAGAAAAAGATAAAGAGCAAATTAAATCGAGATTAAAATAAATCTACGTTGGAATCGGGCATAAGTTCCTCTTTCCAATCTTCGATTAAGAGTCGATAGGAGTGACGGGCTAACTCCGATTTGATCTAAAATGATTATCTACTCCTTATTTATAGTGCAGATATGTATTTATATTCAATTATATTTTGTCTTATAGAAACGATGTTTCGTCATGAAACTTTGCTAAGATAATTTCTTTTACAATTACGAAAGTACCTACAGAGCCAATTTTGCAATTTAGCTCTTAAATAATTAAAATAAATGTAACTATCTACTTATTTACAGTGCAGATATATATTTGAATACACCCATATATCATCTCATAGAAACAATATTCTGCCATAAGCCTTTTTCTACATATTTTTTTATAAAATTATGACTGTTGCTACAGAGCGGGATTTTACAATTTGGCTCTTAAAAAAAAATTTACAATACATGAAAATATTTGCACCTTATTGTCCTATAGTGCAAATCTATTTACGCATAAAATGAATTATTTATTCTATTTTCACACATTTTCTTACGCCCTGTAGCTTTCGTCAGGCAAATATTCTGATTATAAATATTATTTCTGATTATAAATATCATAATTATATAGCTTTTCTCATAGTATTTTGGTCATAATATGGATGAAAAGGAATTCATCTCCGATAGAGATCTCCCATAGTCGACTCTTTGTAGGCAGCGGATATCTTAATATGGCCGGTGAACAGTATCGTCGTTTGTGCCTCCTGTGTGCGTATAGTCACCAGGCTAATAGGAGGAGAAGGTAATTACTCGACTCACTGGCGTTAAGAAAACTGAATAACACTTTATTGTCTTGAGGTGTCGTGCGATATTACAATATATGTAACGGCGGGTGCGAGATGTCTTGCCCGAGAGCTGTACCACGACTCTCTGTCTTTGAAACCAAAAAGGGACGAAATCGCGCCAAAGCGTTCGTAAATTCGCTCTCTCTACGCCATAACGTACACAACTTATATAGAGAGGGATCGCTAAAAGAAAAAGGACGCTGAGCCTACATCTTAAGCTAATCGACGGTTAACTTAACCATCGTGATGGCCAACAACTGAGAAGTAAACTATTTATTATAGATATTATATTATTATAGATATAAATATTAAAATTTTTGTTTAAGCGAATGATTGTTTAATAATTTTTATTTATATTAATCGGATATTACTTACAATTTCATCTACCTATCACAATACCTACAAATACCTACACGAAAAGAATATTAAGTTAAAAAACATTACTTTCTGAACATTGAATTACAGTTACACCTCTGCGGATTAATCATCGGTTAACTTAACCGATTGGTGAAAGAGGCCCTAAGCCGGATTAACATCGCCGTGTAAACATAGTGAATCTTATTGGAGTTGGTTCTCACTCCTGCCGACTCTTAAAATCGAAATGCAATTTGGCTGTTTTTTTATATTGGCCATTAGATAGAGATTCTAAGAATTTTGTTAAATATATATATTTTTTTCGATACATTTGGGAATGTAGCGCGCGCATTATGCTGGATTTAGGCTGGTTGCACACAGGACAAAGCGGTAAAACGACAACGGTGGTAGCCAATCATCGTTTTGTTCTCGGAAAAGTTGTACGCTCATTGAATATCGTGCATTGCATGTCGCGTCATCGCGCTGGTCTGAATCCAGCATTAGTTCGGTTTACAATAGGTGATTAAAATCTTAAGCCAAAAGAAATGAGCGAATAGTTAAAGAATAGGAGAATAATCGACTATGATTGGTCAATTTCTTATGGCCTAAGGCTTAAATCATCTATTGTAAATCGGAACTTAGTAGCTTGTATATTTTCTTTCGATGTATTTCGAAACGCATATGTGGCGGGAAACTCAAAACTATTTCTTTTTTAATGAGTTTTGGAATGTAGCTAGACCTAGTAATAGGTTAGATTTTTTGGGGAATGTGATTTCTTGTATGTGTCTTGTATGTATTGTATTAATTGTATGCATGGTAAATTTTTACCTAAATATTTTATGTTTGAATTATTTAATTTTATGTAGAAGGTACATTACAATTAAAATTGATAAATTTTATGTCAGGATATGTCATGTAAGTCATTATTAATATTATCCTGATAATGAATGGTTCGTTTAGAAGTAGATTATTGGAACCATGGGGAAGGTGTACTCGACACTTACACGACCCATTCGTAACCTTAATATTGAGACTCGCGCAGAAAGAATTATTTCCCGAGAAAAACCGATACCCGCGCCTCAATATGGAGCCATAGAGAAACAAAAAAAACTTATGGATTCAGGTAGCATCGAATTATAGAGTACAAAGTCTATTTCAAGAGAGTCGTGATTACACGACTCACGATTCTCATAATTCAAATAAAACAGTTCATAAATAAAATAATATATTTTGAAAAATATAAATTGAGCGGATGATGGTGTAATTATTAATACAATTTTAATTTGATATAAATGTATTTGTAAGAATATTTTGGTCTAATACTTTTTAAGCTATCTTCAAACCATGATATTTTTATGTAAAAATTAAAATATTGATGATCTGAAAAGATGAATATAATTCTTATATATTAGCAATGTTGATTATTTGATCAGATGATAATGTGGAAAATATAGGATGCGTTCCGTTTCTTGCATGATGCATTTATCCTTATTATTCACTACATTAAACAAGGACAAATAATACATTATGCGCAAGAAACGGAACGCATCCATAGATTTGTTTATAAGTTAACAATTTACAGAAAAGGAAAAGAGAATTATTCAAAATTATTTGATTATTTGATTTATATCATATTACATTTGGAAAACTCAATTTTGGACTTTGTGTTCTCTTATACTGAATTAAAAAATCAATTTAAAAATGATATCTGAATTACATGCTTAGATGTCTCTCTAATTTTGTTATGTAACTTTTTTCTGTTTTAGTAAATCCACATTTCCTAGAGGAGCATTATCAGAAAAATATACAATTGGATCAACGACTGAAAGATGTTTTTGTTAGGTCGACAGACTTGCAAGTATGCATAATATTTTAAAATTATATTTTTGAGTATTGTGGTAATATACTTTTATTTTAATATACTTTTATTTAATTGTTGAAAATGATTAGATTTGATTATTAAATAAATGTAAAGCTTTGTGATATTATACAGGAAATAAAGGGAGTGAAGGAATCTAAGTCTTTACCTCAGAACAGACAAAGTTTTTATGATGATTTTTTATTTGAGTCTTGTGAATATATACCTGTAGGAAAGTGCTCATTAAAACAGGTTTTCATGTTTCTTTTGCAACATAAACGTGACCCTATAACATATAGCAGTGAAAATATAGCTTCTGAATATAAACTGAATAAAAAAGTAGTAGGTATGTATTTTCATTTATTTCTCTTCTGTAAAATCATCTTGAAATTTAATATATTTATTACATTTATGTTGTTTTATATCTATAATTTAATATTTACAGATTTATATATTTATATTTTTTCAGATGATATATTGAAACACTTTAAACTTTATATAATTGTAACTCCGAAGGATATGACAGAAAAATTAGAAGATCCATTTCAAGAAATGTTGGATAAACTTGAAATGAAAAAGAAGGATAAAGAAAAGAAACAGTAGTATAAACATGTATATAGAAAAATAATTTATTAAAGATTATTTCTATATTTTTCTTGACTAAATATAATTATTTGATAGCCTATATCGACTTTTGGAAACGATGTATATTTTATGAAATTGCAAAAAGTTTCGCATGTTAGACTATTCGGCAAGTAATGTGATCGATAAGGTTTCCTAATTCACCCTCATAATATCATCCAGTAAAATGCTCTCATTTTTAAATTCTTTTTTAACTCTGCGCCGACTTCCTTTCGTATGCGTTTATTGTAATTGTTCAGCCAACGCCGCTACGTAATGTAGATTTGTTAGCATTGCAAATAATAACTCAATGATTATAATTAATATCTGCAATAAAGATTGATATGTTATTCTAATGAATCTCTCAATAAATAAATCGTAAAAGCACAAGTTATTTGAATATTACTTGTTACAATGTGATAAATGACACTAATGACAATTAACACATGGAATTGTCTGCTGGTAGATGACATTGCATGAGAGTAATCAGGAAAGAAGTCCTGGATATCTGAACTTGTTTCTGGAATGGTTGTAGTTTTCATCATCATCCAGTAAAATGCTCTCATTTTTAAATTCTTTTTTAACTCTGCGCCGACTTCCTTTCGTATGCGTTTATTGTAATTGTTCAGCCAACGCCGCTACGTAATATAGATTTGTTAACATTGCAAATAATAACTCAATGATTGTAATTAATTCATTTAAAACTTACATGCAGCGGTGTTAGCATAGTAACGTCGATAAGTTTCGGTTCGTAAGGTACTAGAGTAACATCCCGAAATTTGAGAAATCTTGACCCTTTATGAATCTGAAACAATCATCAGATAATAAATAACAGACTAGTAATACAAAATATAATGCAGTCGTTTAAATCATTTAGTATACAGGCAAGAGTATATTAAGATGTACCAATTTGTCAGCTGGAATTACTTCAAGAATGTTTTCCAAACGAACTCCGAACTCGTTTTCTTTGTAATATCCTGGTTCGTTTGAGAGAAAGAATCCTGGCTTCAATTTGACGGAACATCCTGTGAGTGAATTTTTGCATCCAAAATACGACAAACCGATAGGCGCTGCAACGCGTATTGTTCCACTAGAATGGCTTTTATCAATTGTATTCCATATTCTCGTGACGTAACTATTTTACAGGAAACTGTAGATTACGAACGTTCGTGAACTGAAGAGAAGTGACCGATTCCATGACCAGTTTCGTGCATGTAATCGTAACCGGTGCTCCACAATGGCCTTCGTGCAATAGCGTCCAATTGGTCTACCGTCAGATCACTGGGAAAGATCAAAGACGATAATTCAATCGAACCGATCAGCACTCTTGTGTAGGCTTTCCTCTGCTCGTCAGTCGGCACTCCGAAATGAAGAGTTCTAGTCACGTCTGTGGTACCATCTGTCAAATAATTTAGTTTCATGCTTTTTCATGTCTCGATTACTTGAGCAGTGAAAAATTGGAAGAGGGGAAAAAAAGAGCATGAACGAGATAAGGAAAAGATGTAATTCAAATCTTCTTGAAACAAATCTCAAATTCAAAGTTAATTCTTGTTCTATTTAATTTGACTTGATATTTCTTAGCAAAGCAAAATAAATATTCAGAATTTCATACCTAAGTATTGTCCTCCGGAATCAATCATTAACGTGGATGTGGTCCCGATTTTAATATTGGTCAAGTTATTCGGCTCATAATGCGGCATAGCGGCATGTGGTCCATATCCCGCGATTGTTGGGAAAGCGATACCTCTATTGTTATTTTGCTCGTAACGAACTTCATTAGCTACTCTCGCTACTTGCAATTCGTCCCATCCTTCGGAATCCAAGTTATACTGTTCTTCCATGTAAGCTAGGAAATCACACATAGCCATTGCATCCCTTAAATGAGATTTTCTCATACCTGCTACTTCAATTTTATTTTTTTCCGCTCGTAAATCGATTATAGGCGAAGCTTTAGCCAATCTCTTCTCCGGTGGAATCTATAAAAAGATTCTTAAGATTTTTTATTTATATAATTATTATTTTTATTATTTATATTTAATTTTTATTTAACTATGATTATATTTAAATATTTCCATTTTATTCAATTTTTTATTAATTTTTTAGAAAGTTTATTCATTGATATATCATTAATCTTGCATTTAAATTAGAATAAAACCAATAAAGTCAGATTTTTAGATGCTAGATGTTAGATGCTTTTCATTCAATAACACAAGTCAATACAAATATCGTTTTTTTCTTGTTATTCATTGAATGTCAAGAAAGATAGAGTGACGTTTGTATCGACTTAAATGAAAAGCATACATTATTGAATACTATTTAAAATGCATTACTGATAAACATAATATTTAATAAAAATTTTAATTAACCAATTTGTATTATTATTAATATACCTAATATATTTGTATTATTAATATACATAATATTGGGTTATACAACTAACTAAAGCTAATTATGGATTTTAAAATCATTAGTTATGAAAGAAAACAATTTCTTATACAGAAGTTTGCTTTAAAAATAATGTCGGTTTGAGCATTGAAAATCAAGTTTAATTCGTCTTAATAAACTTGACAATTTAAGCTGATAGTTATGTTAAAAAGGAAACTTTTTTCAGGGGGTTGCCTATATAAGGAAGATTGCCATATTTTGTACATTTTTGTGTCCAAAATATATATAATATATATTTGCTTTTTGTATTTGTTTTTAATATATTTGTGGTCATACTTACAGAATTGTATATTTCTTTGGACGCACCCGGCGCGTGACCGTATGGTGACGGAAGCCACACCGTATTCCAAATTTGAGACATAGTCTTTAAATCATACCAAATGTCTGTGTAATTATGCCATCTATAACGATAATAGTTGATTATTACCGAGTTTTGTTTTTATTCTTATGTGTATACATTATATTAATTTTTTCAATTTAGAATTGAGAAAATTCTGATTTCGCAACGTCATTGTAAAATTAAAAAAAAATTCTGATTTCGCAACATCATTGTAAAATTAAAAAAAAAAAATCAATTTTCATCCTCTTCAATAAATCGTGAAATAAATCTTGATGAAACAAACTCTATTTCGATATTAGAAGTCTACGGTCTTGTTCTATTTTGTATTTTTTTTTTTCAGCGAGTATTTCACGATAGTCTCTGGACTGTACTTGTCACTCACTTGACACAATTCGCATGCGAGCAGGAGTCGATTTTCAAATGTATGTCGACGGACCGCAGAATCTTTTGACGTGGCGTATAGAGATGCAAGGACCCATGAGTGATAATCGCGTATGCTCTAAGGACAGGCGTATGCGGTAGATCGTAACCGCGGATATTGAAGAGCCATGCTATCTCGTCCAGTGCGGTGACGACTAGTGCATCGGCCGACGAATACTCCATTTCCAATCGGATACTTTGAACTTTCTCTTGCCATGGTTTACCGGAGAATTTGTCTGCGAGCGGATACGCCGCGTGCGGATTGTACTCAGGTCGGCCCACCTGCCAGATCAAGTCCACCAGGTCGTTACGGACTGCGACCAATCTTACGGACGAATTTGCTGAACACGAATAGAATTGTTAAGAAAAATTAATTTAGCATCATTGTGTGTCGTAAGACTTGTTTCGAAATTTGAAAAAGAACAAGAAAAATATTTATTTTATAATTGATTGTGTATATTCTTATATATTCACAGAAATATAACAACAGAAATATAAACTATAAAAAAATTATACTGACTATATTAATGATACTGTATAAAATATATAAACTGTTCTCTTTTATGAAAATGTACATTTTATTTAATATTGCGATAAATGAATAATCGATATAATGTTTCTCGTTACCCAATTCGACTTCCCATGCCTCCCATGTAAATGCGGATATTAACTTCGGATTAGCACCAATACGTACTTCCGATCGATTTTGAAACTCTTGTATTAACCATTCTGTTATCGTTGGTACCTAAAAATTAATGGAAATATAAATATTAAGTGTATTTTGTTATTATATATAACATAATTCGCGAGTTCCAAGTTTCATAATCGATTTATTAATTTTTATCAATGTCTATTAATTTCACAATTTCAATTTAATTTATTTTTTATCTTTTTCTAATTTTTAAAACTAAAAAAGATAAAAAGTTAAACTGAGATAAAGCTAATAAATCTATTAAACATGGTCTTGATAAAAATTAGTTACAACTTTTCATTAATTGTTGAGGATAAAAAAATTTAATCAATTTTTTTAAATATATATTTATAATTATTAAAATTTACGAAACATTCTCATCATTCTTTTTTAAATAAATATTTCTTTTCTTTTTTCTTATTATTTTTATTTATCTTTGCTATGATTTAAACCTATAATCTAAATATCTATTTGTAATATTCATTTATAATACTAATGTAGATTAACTTTAATTTTGGAGATTTAACATATTTTTTAATCTTTTTTTTAGTTCTAAGAATTAAAAAAGGATATAAGAAAGAAATAAAACTGAAATTAAAGTTGATGATCTATATGGAGTTGATAAACGAATATAAGAAAATCATACTAATATTCCCGCGAATGGTAAATCTAAAATATATAGCATTAATTTTTATAAATAAGAATTTAAAAAAATAACCACTCAGAACACCCTCTTCCCATCCTTCTCGTACTGAGTACGAGAAGTGAACGATCATTGATGACGGAATTCTCGAAACGAGTCGAGAAATCAGCGTCGTTCTCACGCTCAGAGAAAAGGGTTATGTCTCGTCATCGTGGTTACATCGACTCCCATGTTAGGGAGGGAGAATGAGATCGACTCCTACAGAACTGATCCTGTGAAGTATGATCTTAAATTTTCAGTCTCACAATATCAAATATATAAGAGTTTGGTATAATCTTAATCACGAGAAAATGATTGTTTTTATAGCCATCTAGTGGACTAAAACGTAGTTAAATTTAAAAGCTAAGAAAACAAACTGAACGATGTCGCCATCTAGGGATTAGTAAGATTACTTAACTGACAATAATTAGACTAGAGAGATTTGTTATTGGTAATAAAAAATATTAAAACAAATTGATTTAGAAAATAAAAAATAAAATTTAATTAATTTTATAATCTTATTTTTTATCGTAAGTGTAATTATTAAAAAGTTTTAATTAATAATTAATATTAAGTTTTGAATAAATTTTGTTGCTGTACAATTTTGTTGCAATTGTTTGTTGCTGTACTGAATTACTTTTGAATTTTAGTAAATTAGCTGAAAATAGCTGTTATAAATAATAAAAGAATAAAATTCGAGAATGATAAATTTAATAAAACAAACTTAATAAAAAGAAATCCATTGGAAATCCATTGTAATAAATAAAGGCAATTTAGATTATAACTAGATATAAAATAAGAATTTTTATATTTATATTATATTATATTTATATTATAAATATAATAATGAAAATATTTAATTTGAATAAATTTACGCACCTCGTGTTCACCTCGCTTCATTAAAATCCAGTTGCAATCTAGTTGATGATTTGCTTGAACATGATATCGACCATCAGTCCAAAGTACCGCTTTGTTTATAGTTACTACAGCTTCTCCAGCACTTCCATAAAATCCAGTAAGAAATTCTCTTCTCATATCATGTGGATCTACGGTTTCGCTCTACATAAAAAAGATTTATTTTATTAATAAAAAAATACTAAATTATATATTGATATTAACAGCTGGGAACTATTAATATTAATTATAGCAATTTGAGGAAAAAAGAAAAATTTCATATTTCATATTTCATATTTCAACTTTCATATTTCATATTTAGCATCAAAATACCAAAGCTAAATATAATTCAATTTAAATCAATGTTCCCCAATTCGCTGATAATGAATAGTAATTAACATATACATTTACATAAATTCATTTTAATGCCTTTAGCTTTATTACTTAATATTTAAAAATATATATTTTTTATTCTGTTAAATCTTAAAATTTAATAAAATGTTGATTGGGAAACATGGATTGAAAAAATTGAAATATATATACGCGCACTCAAATAAAAAAAACTTATTTAAAACATTTTAATTAACACAAACAAAATTTTTTACAAAATGACTCATTTAGTATATCATCCAAAGCTGTAACACAAAATGTTATTTTCTATATTAAAAAAAGCCTTTAAATATGGTCTGTCACGCGAATATACCTCTACAGGGCCATCACGGCCATGAGAAACGAAGTTCACTGTCTGAAAATTTAAACATAACAATAAAAACGACATTTAACATATCTAAATTAATTTAAATAAATTTGTAGACATAAAACGATAAAACAATCAAGTAAATAATTCGTAAATAATCGAAAATAATATATTAAGTTTAATGTTTAAAATATATTATTTTAAAGCAGTAAATTTATAACAAAATGACAACAAAATAATTGTGTGGTATTATCATTTGTTTTCTGATAAGTAATTGTGATATATAATTTTAATAATAATCATGTATGATTTTTCTCTGTTTTAAAAATAAATAAAGAATTCTCAAGTCCGATTACATTCGTGATCATATTTCAATACTTTTTCAATACTTTTTTACTATTAAAACCTTTAACATAAACATTAACATAAAATCTATTAATATAAATAATTTGCCAATCATTAAATTACATGTAAAAATATTTTTTAAACAAATATGTCATAATTATCAATAATGATTCGATGATATATCAATTATTTCGATAGCTCACCTGATGTTCGTCGTCTGACGTAACGATGTAGCCATCGAGAGCTGGTCCTTGAACTGCCGCCACCCGAACCATTTCGGATCTTAATTGTCTCAGTCGCAAAGAACTATCGTATCGATTGATTGGTTGATTCCCGACATAAGCGTTTGCTGGACAATATGATCTTTCGACGCCATTATAGTTGCGTTCCGGTTTTGACAATCCGTTGATATCAGCTTTCGTTAATCCTGTAGTAATCCGTATTACTTTTTAACAATTTTAATAAAAAAAATTTATTTGAAATTAGATTACAAAATAAAAAATTGATGTAACAAAGGATTGAAAAAAGAAAGAAAAAAAAACGTAAAGAAATACATTAAGTTTTGTGAATTTAAAAATACGTGTTATCCACGTAGTGAATAATAAATATAAATAATAAAAAAATTGCATAAAATAATATACATTAAAAAATAATAGATACATAAGGATTTTACACACAATGTAAATTGTAATATAAAATAGTAAATTTACAAAAAAAACAAGATCTGGAGGCGCCGGGTATCGATCCCGGTACCTCTCGCATGCTAAGCGAGCGCTCTACCATCTGAGCTACGCCCCCTATATCAAAGTTGTTTTTAATTATATTTATTTGGTGCTCCTACTATGTATTTATATATATTATTATCATTTAATACGTTTATATTTTATATATATTACGTTAAATCTTGTTTAAACTTTATTTACAACTTTATATACAAAATACTTACAAAATAATTAAAATAAATTGTAGTAATAACAAATTAACTAAAATAAAGTTGGAAAAAATTTTTATCTAATAGTTTCTATAGAAGACAGAATTAGTCCAATTAAATATGCGTGTATATACATATGTAAATATATTTTGTTAAAAATATGTTTTACAGGAAAATTTAAATAAAATAATTGTTTAATAATAATTTTTATTTTAATAATCTCAATATAAATATCTCATAATAATGAACTGAAGAGTATAACTTATTAAAATAAAGAATAAATAATTTTATTTATCAGATATTAAGTCTAAAGGTCTCATGATTGATTTTATCAAAATTAAATGTGAATAATATATTTTTTGTTATTCACATATATATGTATTTTGAAGCATGCTTCAAACGATTTATAATTCACAGAATTTAGGTTAGAATTCTAATTTCAGATGTTAAGATAGAATTCTATTTATAATTTTATATGCTGTTTATTTTATAATA